GGCGCGATCGCCTTCGCGCCCCCCCGGGGCGACCCAGAAAGAGGCAACTCTGGGGGGCCCCGACCGCCACGAGCGCCCCCAGTTGGCCCTCCCGAGATCGGAGGAAGGCCACAGGAGCTCAAGAGGCCTGCCCAAAATGCCCAGGAAGCGCGATCACCTTCGCGCCCCCCGGGGCGACCCAGAAAGAGGCCCCTCTGGGGGGCCCCGACCGTCACGAGCGCCCCCAGTTGGCCCCCCCCTGGAGCCCGAGGCCTGCTCAGAATCCACTGGAGCCCGAGGCCTGCTCAGAATCTGTCGAAGGAGCCCTCCCAGGACCGCCCTGGCTTTCGAGGAGGATCCAGGCGTGGCGACCGAGGAGCCTCCAGGAGGCTCGGAGAGCACGGTGGAACGGAGGGGAGGGCCGCGAATGCCTCGACTGGCCGTCCTCCGAGATGGGGGGAGGGTGAGGCGGAGGGAAGTCGAGGAGGAGGGAAGGCGGCGGACGGAGGAAGGACGGACGGACGGACGGAGGAAGGAGGAAGGCAGACGAGGAGGAGGACGGAGGGAGGAGGAAGGGGGCAGGAGGAGGAGGAGGAGGAGGAGGAGGAGGAGGAGGAGGAGGAGGAGGAGGAGGAAGAGGGAGAAAAGTCGAGAAGGAGGCGGCGGAGGCGGGTGCACAACTGGCGGGCCCACGCCAAACGTCGCGCCCCGCCCTGGCGGCCTGGCTCCCTTCCAGCGAGGAAAACGCGTGGGAGGCGAAGGCGGCGGACATCGTCTTGGTGTCCTGCTGGTGGCACGTTCGCCGCTCTGGCTACTCCTCCTCTCCTCCTCCTCCTACCTCTCCTCCCTAATTCCAATCATTCCTCCTCCACCCCTTGCAACTGCTCTCCTCCTTCTCTTCCTCCTCTAGCACTCCTCCTCACCTCCCCTCCACATCCTCCTCCTCCCTCCCTCTACCTCATCTGTGTTTTACTCCATCCTACCTCTGCCTATCTCATCCCACCCTCCGCCTCCGCCTTCTCTCTTCCCCTCATACCGTCCTCCTCCTTTTCCTCCTCCTCCTCCCTTGGGCGCGAAGTTATGGGGGGGCGACAAGTGAGGGAGGGGGGGGGGGAAATGTGCCCTTCTCGGGCCCCAAAGCCCCCCCTCTGGGCCCAAAAGGGCCCCTTTTAGGGCCCATGTTCTGCAGCCCTTGTTGCCCCCCCCCATTCATCGCCCCCACTACGCGACCCCCAACTCTTTCGAACCATCAAGCGTGTCGGTAAAGCATGCTGGGCATAAACGCCTCGGGCGTACTCTGACGCTCGACTTGTCCAACACTAGCTAGAGTAGAGGACAGGTCGGTTTGAACATGTAGATCTCGCCTTTGCGCCGCGCGCAGTCGTCATCAACGCTTCCAACAACTGCATGCATTGAGGGCGGCCACGTTGTAACATGTGCTCTCGCCCAGACGCCGCACACATTCGTATCCATATTATTTCAAAGGTATAAAGACGGAGGGCGGCTCTTTTCAAGAGGAAACTGTCGCTGAACACCTACTCAATTATAACACCCCTTTGATACACATACTCCTCGTAATAACAGATGCATGGGGGCGCTTTCGACAGGGGCGCTCCCAACACTGAGGAAAAACACTTGTATGGACTCGCGGGGGACTTGGACAAGACTGCGTATTGCACGATCGTTGATGCACCATGTGTTTGCTCTGTTCCTCCTCGAACGTACCAAACACTTGCTCTGGTTCTCCCCCGCCACCTCCCCTGGGTGGCACGAAGGCCTCTTAAGAGGGGACCGGCCCTATCGCGCAGGCTTCTGAGAAAGCTCCTCAGGAAGCAAGAGGGGGAGGAGGAGGAGGAGGAGGAGGAGGAGGAGGACAGAGAGAAGGGGGTCGGAGGGACGAGCGAGGCGGGGAGGAGGGCACGGAGGAGGAGGAGGAGAGAAAGGCAGGAGGCGAAGTGGGAGGAGGAGGAGGAGGCGGAGGAGGAGGGGTGTGAGAAAGACGAGGAGGAGGAGCGAGGAGGAAGGAGGAGAAGGAGGAGGGAGATGGATGATCGGGAGGAGCTATAGAGGATAAGGCTGCTGTCGGGAGATTGGCAAGAGGAGGAGGAGGTGGGAGGAGGAGGAGGGAGGAGGAGGAGGAGGAGGAGAATGGCAAAGAGGAGCACGAGCAGGAGAGCTCTCGAGAGGCCCGGCGCCTCCTCCGAAGGCCTGCCCATCTCCGCCCGCGGACGCCCCACACTTCGGCGGCCACCCGCGGGAGCCTCCCATAGCGTCTCGTCGGCGCGCAAAAGTCGGGGAGACGAGGTCGTCAAAAAAATGACGAGGCCGAGCCTGCATTTTGACGAGGCCTCCCGCTGCAGACATCCCACGAAACTCCTCCTCGTCAAAATCCGAGGCGCGGTCGTCAAAAAACGGTGGCGAACCCGAGTCCCGGCAAACCCAGGTCTTACGCTCCCCGAAAAAGGGGGTAGGGTCGGGTCGGGCGAAAGGGGGGGATAGCCAAGGGGGGGTTTGAGAATCAGCTCACGTAGCTGATTTTCCCAGCGCCGCCCGGCGCCGGAAGGCGCCCATGTATCGAGGAGTGGGCCCGGCGGCGGGGCCGAAGCCAGCTACATGCAGCAGATTTCGTAACCCCCACTTTCCCAAACCCCCCTCTTCGCCCGACCATAGGGGGAGGGGGGAAGGCTTCTTAGAAGCACCCTGCTTCTTCGAAGGCCTCGGCCTTGCGTCTACGGAGAAGGCCCGCGCCTTCTGAGAAGCAGGGGTGCTTCTGAGACGCCTTCCCCCCTCCCCCTACCCCCCTCTGCGCGTTGCCGAATAACGTCTCGTCGGCTCTTGCGAGTCGACGCCAAATCGGCGCTCGTCGGCGCTGCATCGACGCTGCTCGACGCTGGCCGACGCCAGATCGGCGCCATCGCATCGACTCCCAGACGCCGGTCGACGCCAGCTGACGCTAGCTGACGCTAAAGACGGAGTTGCGAGGGTAGACCAGGCTCCCATGATTTGCTACCGTCGGGCCGAAAGAAATGGGGGGATAGGGAAAAGGGGGGGTACGAAATCTGCTGCATGTGCCGAGCCCATTCCTCGATGCATGGCGGCCTCCGGCGCCGGGAGGCGCCGGGAAAATCAGCTACGTGAGCTGATTCTCACCCCTCCTTTGCCAAGGGCTCCCAACTTCGCGCTTCGCGCTGCGCGAAGCGCGAAGTGCGAATGACTTCGCGCTCTCGCGCCGCCTCCCAGGGGAGAAGAGGAGGATGAGGAGGAATCGGAGCCGAACCGCGAAGCGCGAAGCGCGAAGCGCGAAGCGCTTCGCGCCCTCGAGGGCGCCCTCGTCTGCTATCCCCCCCTTTTGCCCGGCCCGATACCAAAACGGAGGATTGCAATCCTTCGTTTTTTGCAATCCTTCGTTTTTTTGCAATCCTTCGTTTTTTTGCAATCCTTCGTTTTTTTGCAATCCTTCGTTTTTTGCAATCCTTCGTTTTTTTGCAATCCTTCGTTTTTTTGCAATCCTTCGTTTTTTTGCAATCCTTTTGCCCGGCCCGATACCAAAACGGCACCACTCCCGGGACCCAGCCTCGACCCCCCTCCCAGTTGCTCCCAGCTGCGCACGGACGGCCGCGGCCGCGCGGGGCGCATCCGGGGAGGCCCGGCGCCCCAGGGCCGTGGCCGGGCATCCCCGCCCCATGGGGCACCCAGATGGTCTGGTACCGGAAATTTTCGGTAGCGATTTCGACGCACCCCGAATTTCGGTAGCGACCGGATCTTCGTTCGAGGGCGTTGAGATAGCGGAGTTCAGAACGCTCTGATACCGGTATTGGGCGCTACATTTCGGTATTTCGGTAGCGACCGATCTCTGCGGAGCGCTACCGGAAATTTTCGGTAGCGGACCATCAGGGCAGCGTTCGAGGGGGCCAGCTCCGGGGGAGGAACTCGCGCGCTCGCCAGTGATACGCCGAGAAGCGCCTGGATCGGCGGTGGACAAACCTCGCTCTAGCAAATCTCCCTTCCGCGGAAACGGCCTGGGACCGAATCTGACGGACCTGGAGCCGCAAAAAGGACGGCCGCGAGGCCCTCTCGTGAACCGAAAACGGCCACCTCGCTAATCGAGTAGGAGGTCTATCAACCTCCGACTGGACAGATCTAGCATGCACAAAACTGGGCAACACCTCTCGCCAAAGCACTGCAGTCCCCAACGCTTGCCGGTACGTTAGCAGCGTGCTTCTAAACTTGCCCGTGCTTGGAGCAAGAGTCCCAGGGCAAAATGTTGGACATACGGCACGTCGTTTTCGGGCTGGAATCCGCGATACATCGCCGATACATATATATATATATATATATATAGAAAGAGAGAGAGATCTATATAGATAGATAGATAGATAGATAGATAGATAGATAGATAGATAGATAGATAGATCGGCGATAGGCCACCGACAGCGAATCTGGATGTTACCGGGCAGGGTGCGGCTATCGGGCCCCCATCGGCGATCCATGGGCGCTTGGGGGTCGATGCGCCCCCCACTGGGCGCATTCCCCCCCGGAACGCTTCCCCCGTGAGGCTCGAAGCCGCTCTAAGGAACCAAGGGCGCAGAATGACGTAGCCAAAGGCTGCCCGAGCGAACAAAAAAATCAGCGCTGAGCGCGAGTGCTGCCGCATTCCGACTTCCCCGGAGCGCATCCCCCCCCACCGCTGCCCCTGACCGCCCTAAAGTCGGGGCGTTGACCTAAGGAACCTTAAATACGGAACGAGGCCCCTTGATCCCAAAAGTTAAGCTTGGATTTCCCATCGAAAGCCTCAGGAAAACCCAAGCCCAACTGTAAAACAATCAAGGAACACCGATCCCCTCCCCAACGAGAAGGGTTCCTTCTTCAGCGCCCCGACTGTACCGCACCCTGGTGACGGAACGCTCGGAGCCGGCGGGCTCCTGGGGAAATGGCCACTACGGGATGCCAGCGCACTCCCGGCCACTCCCAGACGACCCCCTGCGGGCGCAGAGCTTTGGGTCACCGGGCGCCCACACCCCGCGAGGCCCGTTGCGCAGGCGGGGTAAAGCTTCCGACGCTGCGCTCTTGTTCTACCAGCCTGGAACATATCCCTATCCCTATGCTGGGCACCTCCTCATCACGATGCCAATCTTAGGGATTCCCTGATTTTTTGAGGGCGAATCCCTAAGATTGTCGTGGCCTTCTGGCGTGTCAATCTTAGGGATAGGGATACGTTCGAGGCTGGTAATTGTTCCCGCTTTGGCATGTGGGGGGTGGGTCCTGGGACGCGGGTCCTGGATCCTAGGGCTTTCTCTGAGACCAGCTCCTCGTTCCTGAGCAGTTTTGTTGACAGTCCCCGAGGCCCCAGGGAGGAGGCCCCGAGAGTCCCGAAGACGCTGAAGAACACCCAGCCAGGAGAGCCCAGAATGAAATCGAAAAGTCGGCTCGGCGATCGAATTGAATCGGATCTCCTTGCTTGCTCAGCGAGTTCGAGCAAAAACACTGCTATGTAGAGATGCGCTGCCTGCCGTCAACGTTGTGGCACTGATGCCGAGAAGACAATGCAAGACAAGGCGTCCACCAACCAGCCCCAACCAACCAACCACTATCGAGTCGCAGTGCATAAAATGCCCAAGCCGCAGCCCCCTTCTTCGAGGCCCCTTTTTCCCATAGGTTAAGCTTCGCTTTCCCATGGGAAGCCTCAGGAAAACAAAAAGACAAAATGCAGAACAATCAAGGAACACCGAGCCCCTCCCCAACCAAAGGGGTTCCTTCTTCAGGGCCCCGACTGTACTACTTCTCGAAACGCTCGAACCCCGGGCCCCGTTCATGCAGTCAGGCTTCTGAATTAAGCGGCGCTTCAGAGTGAACAAGCTCCTATCTCGGCACCTGAAGTGCCTGGGTGAGGGGCAACCGCGGAATGGCATGAGGAATGGCGAGCCCCTTTCCGAACCCAAATCGGTCCCCGGATCAGCGTCTGGGCTGCACGATCCCTCCTCTCGTGCAAAACTCCAACGACTCGATGCCCACGGGTCTCAGAAGCCCGAGCCTCTCCGCCCCTTCCCTAGCACCGGCTGTTCCTCCTGAGACAGTTTGCGGCCACAGGACCAGAAAACGACCCCCGCAGGTCGAACATGCGGACAAGCATGGCACCACAATAAGGAGCAATGCAAGGCCAAGGGCCGCCCGCGTACTCCAGATTTCTTAATAAAAGGGAGGGGGTCTGGACCCTCCAAGACAAGCCATTTCAGACCTCCCCCGTGGGAGGACCCTCCAAAACATCGTCCCCAGACCCCCCAGGCCCTCCAGGATAGCCTGGAAGAGACCCCCCCCGAAATGAGACCCCCCTCCCTTTCTTACGAAATCTGGAGTCGATTTTCGATGCGAAATCGAAGGCCCACTTATGGAAGAGAGGGGCCTCGTTCCTTATTTAGGGTTCCTTAGGTCAACGCCTCGACTGTAAGTCGGGCCTGTCCCCCTACAGAGAGTTTTCGACGAAAAATATGAAGTACCCCCCAAAAAAGTCAAAACATATACCCAAAAAAGAGTCTGGGTATTATTTTTTGAATGTTGATTTGCCTTTTTGGTGTATGTTTTGGGTACTTGTTATGTTTCGTCGAAGATCCCCCTGGAGTAGTCACTTCAGCGGCCCGCGGCGCGCATCGCAGCGCGCACTGGAGCCTCCTATCCCCCCCCCTTGGCCTCCTGTGGCTGCTTCTGGCCGTTCCCGCCACTCGGTGGAGCTCTCGGAGGCTGGCGAAGGGGCCGCTTTCAAGCGTCGACCGCTGGACCTCTCCAGCGGCGCGCCCTGGCCGGATTTTGTGCGAGGGAGCCTGGCGAGAGGCCCCCGGGAGGCCCAGGCCACACGGAAAGCCCGAACCTCGAACGATTCCAGTCGGGGCGTTGACCCAAGGAACCCTACATGAGGAACGGGGCCCCTTTCTCCCATGCGTTGAACTTCGATTTCCCATTGAAGACCTTAGGAAAACTGAAGGCAAACTGCAGAACAATCAAGGAACGCCGAGCCCCTCTCCAACGAAAAGGGTTCCTTCTTCAGGGCCCCGACTGTACATTGGGAGCACAGACAATGACATCAACGCACAAAAAACTCAGAGGTCCCGAGGGCGCGTGCCAGAGATCCTTGTGGAACGGCACCAGCAGCAGGTTCGAGGGCGTGTAGGGCAGGCCGGCCGCGCGGAACGTGCCCACGCTGAGGCCGCCCAGCTTGAAGTCCAGGCGCTCGCCCTCGCCCATCTCCTGAGGAGGAGGAGGAGGAGGACGACGACGAGGAGGACGAAGATGAGCAGGAGGAGGAGGAGGAGGAGGAGGAAAAGGAGGAGGAGGAGGAGGAGGAGGAGGGTGAGGGGGAGGAAGAGGAGGAGCAGGAGGAGGATGGGAGGGCGCCCGCCGGCCGCGAGCAGGCCCAGCGCCCCGGGCCCCAGAACGCCCTCGCGTCGGGGCTCGAGGACCTCCAGGAGCGAGGGCGGTCGCTCTCGGCCTCCGGGGGCCCGTGGTGCCCCGGAAAAAAAAAAAAAAAAAAAAAAAAAAACAAAAAAAAAAAAAAAAAAAAAAACGGCCAGGATGGCAGGTCGCTCCTGCGGCCGAGGTGCTCAACGCAGACAGGATGCCAGGGCGGTCGAGGATGGCCAGGCGAAGCTGCGGTCCACGCTGCGAAGACAGGAGAGGGCGCCAAATGCCATCGCGGGAGGTTCGCGCCGTGACGCCGTCGGGGCGTTGGCTTCTGACGCCACGTGGTTCCTTGACCTTATGGTCGCGGCTTTTCGACACCGAGTCGTGAGAGGGAGGAAGAGGAGGAGGAGGAGGAGGAGGAGGAGGAGGAGGAGGAGGAGGAAAAGGAGGAGGAGGAAAATTAGGAGGAGGAGGAGGAGGAGCAGGAGCAGAAGGAAGAGGAGGAGCAGGAGCAGAAGGAGGAGGAAGAGGCAATGGCGGCGCTCCTCCCTGAACGCCCGCGCCGGGGTCGCCGCCGTGTCCACGCGGCGCGAGCATGCCGTATACGCCAACGTTTCGTCCTGGCATCGCCGAGCCTGGGCCAGCCGTCGGTGCGCTGCGCCGCCCTGGCGCGGCATGTGCCCCGATGCTGGGCCTCTCCAGGACTTGCCGTCGCTCGGACGTCCATTGCCCGTGCATTTTTCGGTTTCGTGCGCGCTTTTGTTGGCGCGATGGTCCAGGATGGTCCTCGATGGTTCTCGCCGAGAGAACAAATGCACACGTCCGAGCGATGCCAGGCGTCCTGGCGTGGCATGTGCCCCGATGCTGGGCCTCTCCAGGACCCGTGCACAGCTGGACCTGGGGCAGAAGAGCATCCGTCAGGAACCTGGGACCCTCCGCCGGCCAAACTAAAAGAACACTCGAGGGCACCCTCCCCCAGGTCGTTAAAGGCTTAACGACTTCTGCCGTTCTTCGACTCGCGCTGGAGCGGCCGCGAAGTGCTCGAACTTTCCCTGGAGATCTCTGGATTTACCTGGATTTACCCAGATTTATCTAGATTTTCCTGGATTTACCTCGATTTATCTGCATTTACCTGGGTTTATCTGGCTCGATTCTCACAAGTCGATTGGCGAAAAGTCGACAAGCCCTAAGGGACCAGGAGGCACACAGAACAGCCGACGGGCACGAAGGACACTCGAGGGGTACCCTCCCCGGGCCGACCTCGGTCGTGCACATCTCGGTCCGACCGCACCCCCTCCTCGGGAGAAGCCGTCGGGCAGGAAGGCGCCGAAGGTTTTTTTTTTTTCAGGGCGGCCGAAGCTGAGCTCACACTCTAACCGATCCTACGGCTCCCTCACCGTGCCCGTGAGGTGGACCCCGAGGTCCTGTGCCGAGTATGCTGGACAGGCAGCGCCGGGGGCAGACATTTGCACGGACAGCCAAGCGCACAAGCCAGAGCAAGCTTCGACAGGGACGAGTCAAAAACCCTAAGGAGGACGCGCGGTGAGGACGCGAGACCCTTGGAAGCCGAAGTTGGGATTTCTGGGGCGGCGGACGACGAAAGCATCAAGGACGAAAGAGCAGGGAAGAGCAAGGACGCAAGGGTACCCGGAGCAAAGTCGCGCGTCCTCAGTAGGGGCTTTGACTGTAGACTGGGTCTGCGCCCAAAGCGGATGGAAACTTTGGGATCCAACAGAGTAGACTTTCTGCGGGCGATGGGCATGGGCGTCTTGCTGGCGCTCTCCTAGGGGGCTCCCAACTGGGGTTCGAGCAGATGGGGTCGGAAGGTCGCGCAGCATCCCCGATGGATCGCCGACACATCGGCGACGTCGGCGATGCATCGGCGATGTCGGAATGGAGAACATGGGGATACACATTGAACCACATCGCCGATGCATCGGTGATGCAGCACAATCTCCGACCCCTACCTACTCGGACCCTATGAGGGAAGCCTGGATATGAGCGTCTTGCTGCCGTTCTCCCCAGGTCTCCAGCGAGATCAGCTTGCACACCTTGTACTCCAGGGGGTTCTCCGTGAGCTTGGCCTTATTGGTCATCGCATAGACGCTGAGGGGCTTGCGGTCCGCGTACCCGTTGCAGATGGTCAGATTGTGAGTCACGAGGACGTCGTCCTCCCGCAAGGGTGAAAGAAACAACAACTGAATAAGCACACGCATACAACCACATGTGAACCCTGCCCCTGCAAGTTAGATTTCTAAAACGCCAGCTGGGGGTCAGAATTGAAAAGCTGTCCGCAGCCAAGCGGACCCCAGCGGGGGTGCCCGATACCCCAGCATCGACTGGACTCCCCCTCGCCGCTTTCTCACTGAGCACTGGGCCCAGAAAGTGTGTGTGACTTGCGCGACCGTCAGCTTTCATGTAGGGGCTCGCTGGGGAGTCGCTTCCTCGAGGAGCAACACCAGGGGGGTGGGGACGGGAAGGGGGAGCAATCGACCTGGAATCGGCGACACATCGACGACAGATCGGCGAGAGGCCCCCGACAGCAAACTCCGTGCGTTCCTGGTCGGGGTGGGGTATCGGGCCCCCGTCGTCGATCAACGCGCCATCGGGGATCGATGCGTCCCCCTTCCTGAGCCCATCCCCCTAACTGCGCGATTGGGGGTCGATGCGTCCCCCTGCCGAGCTAAAGCAGGGCTAGGACCGGGATAAATCGCTCCAGAGCGTTCCGGAGCGCTCTCAGAGCGTTCCGGAACGCTCTGAAGCGGCCGCGGCGCCCAATACATCCTCCAAACCCGCCGATCCTCCGAGATTTCGAGTTATCCCGATCCGATGTTGCCCCGATCTTCGCGCCGTTTTACCATCCCCCCCCCCGACGTCGCCCCAGACCCACGTGCAGAGGCAACCGGGAGCGGCAAAGAGGGGGGTGTCCAAGAGGGGGGGGTGCAAATCATGACCGGCGGCATGTGCGCGGCCCAGCGGGGGGGCCAGGGACGTAATGAAATAAGAAGAGGCGCCATGAAATCTGAGGAAATATCATGCCCCCCGCCATGATATTCACCCCCCCCTAGTCATCACCCCCCTCTTTTCCGCCCCCGAGGCAAGCCTGGCAGAAGCCGCCGGAGCGCCCCCCGGGCAGGCCCAGGCCGGGCGCCGCGAGTGGCCGGCGGGCCCGGGCGTCCGGGGCCAGCGGGTGTGCGCTCGAGCCGCCAGGAGGCCGCCCTCGAACTCTCGCCCCGCCGCCCACCGTCCCCCCTTCAAGAGGGAGCCCACAGAGAGGACGTGCGCGTCCAACCGTGTGCACGAGCGCGGCCCCTCGATCCGCGGGACCGGCCGCGTGCTAGGAAGACTCGCGGAAGGCGTGCTCTCGAAGTCCGCGCGGATGCGTGTACGTGGTACGTCCTTCTTTCGCTCCCGATTCCACTCCATCTCCTCCCCCCTCCCCGTTCCGTTCCGTAGCGGCTTGGGGCGCGTCCGTCTGTGGAAGCAGTCGTGCACCCAGATGGGGAAGAGGTGTGGGGGGGGGGGGGGGGGCAATACACGAATGCAGGCGTCACTTCTCTGGAGGCACCCCGACCCAGCCTCACGCGAAGGAAGAAGAGAAGCGGAAGGGGGGCCGGTGGTTGAAACCAGTTTCGTAAGCCTCCCCCTCGCCCTCTTCCTCCTGGAAATATCCCTCTCCCCAGTAAACTGGTCCATTCCCTGGTGAACTGGTCCACTCCCAGGTTGTAGGTTCTGTGGGTTCTGAAGATCGTGAAACCTTCGCAGCATTGTAACCTTTTCCCAGGCGCTCCTTTGCAGCTTTTTAGCGCTCCCTTGACACCGCATTGGGGCTGACTTGAACACCGGCGGGGCAGCATTGTGAATCCATTGGAGCTCTCACGCGGTCCTCTGGGGCCGTCTTGGGGTTTGCTCGGCCGTTTTGGGGCCCTGTTGGCCGTCTGGCCTCTCCTGGGCCGCGTGGGGGGGCCCTCTTGGGCCGTCCTGGGCAGTTTCGGAGGCCTCTCAGTTTATGCGTTGGTCGCATGAGGAGGAGGAGGATGAGGAGGATCGATGAGGAGTGGGGGGGAGGACGCAGGGGGACATGACGATGCTGATGGTGATGATGATGATGATGATGATGATGATGATGGTGATGATGATGGTAATGATGATGGCGAGGATGATGATGATGATGATGAGGATGATGATTATGATTATGATGATGACGATAGTGGTGGTGATGGCGATGCCGATGGTGATAGTGATGATTTTGATGACGACAATGGCGACGACGATGATGTTGGTGCTAATGACTGGTAATCCTGATGACGATGCTGTTAATCATGATGACGTTGTTCATCGTCATCATCATCATCATGTTGATGATGACCATCATGGTGATGATGGTGAAGACGACGATGTATACCATGGTGATGATCCGCAGGTCCCCTTGCGGGGCCACCAGGCTGCGAGGGTGCAGATGGCAGCTCCCTGTTCCAGTTGCAGTTTCCAGTTTCTGCTGTTACAGTCCTGCCTTCTGCTTCCTTACTGTTAGTTGTTGCTTTCCGCACGAGGGGTGGGAGCACCAAACGGGATGTTTACCACGTCCTGGGAGGGTTCTCAGAAAGCCTGGGGGGGCGTGGGGCACGTAAAATACATGATATTCGCGTCCCCGAGGCCATAAACCTTCGAAAATTACACAATACTCGCGTCCCCGAAACCATAATCCTTAGTACATTCCGCGATGTGTGCGTCCCCGAGGCGACCAAAACCCTCAAAAATGACGCCATATTCGCGCCACCGAAACCCAAACAACAACAAAACTTACACAATACTCCCGCCTCCGGAACCATAAGCCTCCGATGATAAAAGATTCGCATCCCCAGGGCCAGAAACCCTTGTAAATTACAGCGTGCTCGCGTCCCCGAGGCCACAAAAACCTCGCAAAGTATGCGCTGCTCGCGTCCCCGAGGCAAGAAGCCCTTGCAGATGATCTGAAACTTCCGCCCCCGAGGAAATAACCCCTTCTAGATTATGCAATAGCTGCGTCCCCGAGGCCACAGACCCTCAAGTACGCGATACTCGCGTTTTTGAAACCACAAACCATATGAAATGACTTAATATTTGCGCCACCGAAGCCATAAACCCTC